AAGCCGTCAACTCTGTGGAGTAAATATTCGATGCTCCGCACCATGATTTACCTGAACAGAAACGTAGATATTAGGAAATTCACAAACCTTATTGCATTTTTAAAATTTTTAAAAAGGGAATCTTCCGCAAAGAAACCAAAAGTATTTACAAAACTGGAATAGAACGCTTTATGAAAGAAGCCGATGACAAAGAATTCCTGTTAGCTAAAGTTGTCTTAATCGCTGGAGTATTATAATAAATAAATACTTTCACATTGTTTCTAACGTTTCATTTCTTACTAAAGTGTCATTTTTAGATATACTCTGTTTTTTTTCTCAGGTAAGATTTCGACAGACGATGACAGAAGAAAAGCAGATGACGTCCCATACCAATCTATTTATTTTACTAAAAAAAGTTTCTAATAATTTTTAAGTTAACTATGGATGGGTTTAAATATAAATCCGTCATGCGTCGTCTCTTGTTGTTTTTAACCAGTTTCATTGGTTTATTTCAAAAATGACAGATCGTATTTCAATTTTATTGGTTTGACGGAACGATGAACGACAAACGGACGCCGATGCGTATGAACTCGCCTTTAGATTTTTGACGCTTGTTAAAGTCTTGTCAAATTAGAGGTTATAATTTTGTGTCAACGTGTCAACTTTTGTCAGTTTTGTCAAATACCCTGCGTTTTGGAAGATGATGCATTTTGATTCGTGTTATTACCTGTGTTTTGTGTCTTTTGAAGTCAAGTGTAGGAAAAATCGAGTGAAAATTAACTGTAGACCCAGAGCAAGTTTATGGTTAATACAAGCTGCCCAGGCAAAAAGTCTTATACACCAATAAAGTTACCATCATTAAAGTTCGTATACCATCTCGTCGTGGACAAGTGCATCTCGAATATGGTAGAAGGACCATACTAAACACATACTAAAAACTGGAGTAGCTGTAAAATACCGACATCGCACGATACGTAAATAATGGATTTTAATAATGCCAAAGGTACTGGTTTAAAAAATTAAGATTAAAGTTAATTAATCAACCTTTAAGGTACATATAAAATTTGGCAAGTGTTATTAATAATAAAATAGTTTGTTTTATTTATGTTGTTTTATTTATTCCTACGGAATATTACAAATTTGTATTTGTACGTAAGTTATATTGATAAATATAATCATAAATGGGGGAAGTTTCATAAAGGTTGAAAGTAAGAAATAGTTCTTTTTTATATTTTTTTGGTATGTGGTGTCTTGTTCTTGTTTGTTTTGTATTAACACATACTGTTTTTTATTAAATTAAATAACTCGATTAATATTTTTTCAGTTTTATACATTTTTTTTCACAATATTTTGAAGTAATCACTTGTCAGTCAAATTTTAAATATAATAATTTCCTACTATGCGTTCCAGTTGTACCAACTTATTTCTTTGTAAAATAAAATAAACTACTTTGAAATTAAAATGACAGACACATCTATCACTGTCATTTCGAATCTCAAATAAACATCAAAAACTGTCAATTTCGAAACGCTTTCACAAAGAGATATTTAAAGTTCAGGAGTAATATATTATTCAAATACAGCTCAATATTTAACGTGATACAAACCGGAAGGAAGTGAACTGGAACGAAATCAAAGATGTTTTATATCACCTGCTATCGCCCCTGTCGAGCAATTATGGCTATTAACGTATTGAAATAGTTGTTACCCTTCGATGATTTTTATTGTTTTGGGGGTGGTAACGTACATTCACAACATTATTTTATGGAGAATTAAAAATAATACTTTGTGATCAAAAAAGTAAGAAATTTATTCTAACATGCAACTAATTTTTATTTAATGTCATATAAGAGTTTGATAACTCTATTATGCATGATTGTTGAAAAATAATCTTATTTGGTTCGGATAGTTTTCCAAAATACACTTTGTGTTCTTATAAAATATTAATGATATATATATATAACATGATTTTGGCATGAAATTTTTAGGATTGTCCAGTTCTAAATATAATATATGTATTTAAATCAACATACATACATTCTCCATCATAAGTAGGTAACCTAATATTATTTAGAAAAAAAATGGGCTAAACAAATCATGGGTTTCTCTCACTCGTATTTAATGTAGTAGAGTAGACCGGATTAATTAAATTATTATTAATAATCTTATTTATTCTTGATTAGTATTGACTAATCTTTCGCTTGATCTCCCATCCTCTATTGGTGCAATTTCTTACCTTTATTATTGTTCATCCCTTTTCAAATTTCCAAGGAAATGGACTATTTTCTTTCTTTTCTTACAATACCGGGTACGTCTCAAAACCCTATGACTTTTTTAGTTTTTTAGATAAGAAAACAAGATTTGGGTATATTGGTATAATAAAATATATTTTTAAATATAATATAAAATAATAAAATATATAAAACAATATAAAAATCTCGAAAGTTCCGAAAATGTCAAAAATAATCGCAAATTTGGAGGTGACCCTAATTTTATGCCCGGCAGTGTATATTATCATTCTTTATAATATAATAATATGACTGTTAGATATTTTGTGTCATTCTATACCGGGTGCGTCTTAAAAGTGGCTCACCCCCTATAACTTTTTTATTTTTTCAGATAAAAAAAACGAGATTTGGTATATTAGTATATGACATAAATTAAGATTCATTTACATATTCAATTGTTTTCGGTCACTTCCTGTTTCAGCAAAAATTGACTACAACTTTCGATTTTTAAACGGCACCCGTATTTTTTTACTTTATTCGATATAAAATGACACTTTGAATAGAACGATATATCATAAGTCAACCGTTAACATTTTCGCTTAAAAAATCGTATTTTAAATTATAATCTAGAGTGCCATGTTAAAAATACTAATTTTTAATCAAAGAGCCTTGGAAAAATATATTTGATCATCTTAGTGTCTTGTCCTGGCAGGTTAAAAGATGCCCAAATCTAATTTTTAATCATATCTCAATTATTTCAAATGGAACGAGGGGGCTCATTAGCATATTTGGAAAAATAATTTTTTCACAAATAATTTGGTACCACACACTTGGTATTTCGAGTCAAATTCCCAGTGAGCATTTTATTCCTTTAAGGGAAATGTGTCCTAGGTGACGTCGTTGTTGCATTACTTATCAGGCCCTTCTTTTGCCTGATGAAAATGAATAAAACGCAGATACGTATACAGGGTGTTTCAAAACAAATGCGAAAAACTTCAGGGGGTGATTCCTTGTTCAAAATAAAGGGTAGTTTGCTTCATAAACGTTGGGTCAAAAGTCAACCATTAGGGAGATATCGCGGTACAAAGATGGCGGAAAAATAATGTTTTTATGTTTTATCTTGAAAACGAAAAGAGATAGACTAATGAAATTTTATGGAAGCATTGCTGTTATGAAAACACACTTTCTGGTAATTTTTTCACTTTTTAAAATGAGTGGAAGGGGTTGAAATAAACTACCCCTATCATTCTTGTTAACGAAATTTAAAGAAAAATCTTATCAAACACATGCAAAAAAAATAATTTGGATAGTTTAGTTTGTTTAGAAACTTTTTTATCTCTTGTATTTTTTTGATAAAACTCACCGATTTGAAATTAAAAAATAAAATGTAAAGCATTACATGTCAGGACAAAAAACATTTTTAGATTAAGAATCTAGTGATAATAACGATAATAATAATCATCTAGATAATAACTTATTGCAATAGAGTAATGTCAAATAAAATAATATTAAGAACATCCTGAAAAGTAACAGCGGCCGACTAGATTTTTTCCTAAAAAAATTACAGCAGCCCACTAGATTCTTTATCAAAAAATGTTTTTTGACCTGGCATGTAATGCTTTACATTTTATTTTTTAATTTCAAATCGGTGAGTTTTATCAAAAAAACACAAGAGATAAAAAAGTTTCTAAACAAACTAAACTATCCAAATTAATTTTTTTGTATGTGTTTGATAAGATTTTTCTTTAAATTTTGTTAACAAGAATTATAGGGGTAGTTTATTTCAACCCCTTCCACTCATTTTAAAAAAGTGAAAAAATTACCAGAAAGTGCGTTTTCATAACAGTAATGCTTCCATAAAATTTCATTAGTCTATCTCTTTTCGTTTTCAAGATAAAACATAAAAACATTATTTTTCCGCCATCTTTGTACCGCGATATCTCCCTAATGGTTGACTTTTGACCCAACGTTTATAAAGCAAACTATCCTTTATTTTGAACAAGGAATCACCCCCCAAAGTTTTTCGCATTTGTTTTGAAACACCCTGTATAACTGTTCCCTAAATGTGACAAAACTTTGCTCACTGGGTTGTCGTTATGAACCTTATGTTACAATAATTTCAAATATGTGCATATAATATGTCAAAATACGAATATATCAAACGTTGACATATGATATTATTATGTCATTCTTCAGAGTGTCATTTTCTATTAAATAAAGTGAAAAATACCGAGGATGCCATTAAAAAATCAAAAGTTTTAGTAATTTTTTAACATACCAAATCTCGTTTTTTATCTAAAAAAATTATAGGGGTGACCCACTTTTGAGACGCACCCGGTATAGATTCATATAGAAAATATGGAACTTTGATTAAATAATTCTATTTGTTCATAACAAATACAGAACAATTAAGTACAAAATTTAGTTTGCCTATTATATTTTTTTCTAAATTATTATATTAAATGATTGGGACTCACTCATCGCTACAGAATAAGTGCATGGTTTATTATTATTTAGGGTGTAATTCTAAAACCAGTCTTTTTTATATTTTCGATCATTAAATAAAGCAATAAAAATATTGCAGATCCTACATATATCAAAAATAAAAATGAAAAAAGTGCTGCATCGGCCGGGAATCGAACCCGGGCCGCCCGCGTGGCAGGCGAGCATTCTACCACTGAACCACCGATGCTATGATAACTAGTTCTAAAACACCATATTTAAACCGTAGTATTGCGATTTTTATACCTACTTTTTGACTATAATAATTACACATATTACCTTTCTCTTTTAGCGAACATTTCCCTTTCTACAAAGCAAACGACGACCGATGGAAGAATTCCGTCCGCCACAATCTTTCCATTAATCCTCATTTTCGAAAAGGTGGAAAGGCCATTCATGGCGCCGGACATCTATGGACCATTGCTCAGAAGGATGAACACAAAACATGGCAAATGGTACGCATTTTTGAGTATTTATTATAAAATGTTTTACACGGTGATCCAGATACTTCATTTAATTTGGGTTTCCCGTTTGAGGGAAAAACCTAAAAATGTGGCAGATACTGATGAGCGCACAATCATTTTTTTAATATTTTGAAATCATAGTCGAACGTATCTTCAAAGTTGGAAGCTGAAGCAAAGTTGGACAAAGGGTAGATAATTACTGAGAAATTTTCTGCTTTTTGAAAATATAGAGTAGTAGAAAATAATTAATTAAAAGTTTTAAAATAAAAATATATTTCTCGCCTTGTTTCTGCAAGCGATCTTCATTTTATAGCCATCGTTGACGCCTTTTTTTGATCATATACCTGGTGTCCCAGAAATAAGTGCAAGTATTTTAAGGGGTGATGGTAGATCTAAAAAAAACATATTTTCTCTTCATCGTATTTCAAATAAGTCCAAAATAACGGAGTTATTTTACTTTGAAAATTTCCAAAAAATGATTTTTTGCTAAAAATTTGAAAACCACTGGGTCTTTCCTGGATTTTCTTTCTTGTAAATTTAATCTAATACCTATGTTGCCATATTATCAAGAAATTATGTTTTTTAACTAAGAACTAAAAAAAATCCATATAATAATAACTTTAATAAAAACTAATAAAAAATCTTTCAAAAAATTTGGAATTTTCAAAAAATTTTTTTTGCGAAAAAAACCTCATATGCGTGTTTCTGAGGTTGAACCAGTTAAAATACTTGCACTTATTTCTGACAACACCCTGTATATCGTAAAACTAATATTTTAACCGGGAAACCTGATATACTTAGATGAACTTTTTCAGATCATTCCGAATATAATAACATTAATATTCTGTACCTATAACAGTATAACATAGTATACTAAATTATTGTTATTCATTTTAGAGACAACGTATAAATGATTTTATAAGAATATCTCAAAAGAATACCAAACCACCGGAAGAAGATGCTTTTGATAAAGAATTGCAGGTTGCTACACAAAGTATCTTGGGCGAAATTCAGCAAACTCAAAATATAGTAAGTATTAAAAGTACCTATATTAAGTATACACTATCGGACAAAAGTAGAGCGACACTTCGGGAAATATTTGCAAATCGCGATTTTTTAATTATACATGCATGATAATGTATCCAAATGCAATAAATTTAAAAACTACGAAGCAGGCTATGAGTATCCAAGATTTTTACTAACAAAACAAATTAATTTATTTTGATATTTAGTTTTAAATGTTTAATAGTAAAGCGTCAAAAGTAGAGCGACATAATTCATTCCATAGAAGGGTTTCAGCAAAAGTAAAGGCCAAAATAATTGTGCGAGATATATTTTATGTATTTTTAAACATTTCTATGCTGAATTAGACATGCCAAGAGGAATTCCAATTTCAAAAGACTTAAAGCAAAGAGTTGTGAATGCATTCATGGAAGGTAATAAACAAGCTGATATTTCAAGACAGTTTGTGTTACCCCGGTACAGTGTATCTAAAATAATTTCATCGTATAATGACAGGGGACACTTAGAAAAGTTGCCAAAATCGGGAAGGCCAAAGAAAAAAACAGTAATGACCGACAGACGCATCAAAAGATATGCTCAAAATGATCCTTGGAAATCTGCACCTAGAATTATTAATTACGGTTGGTATACGAACAGGGAACAAAGAAGATTAGTAGATGCAAAGTTATTTAGTAGACGTCCAGCTAAAAAGCCGTTAGCTTCGGAAAGAAATAGAGCAGCAAGGTTGGCATTTGCACGTCGACATTTAAACTGGACCGTCAATGACTGGAAAAAAGTTCTGTTCAGTAATGAAACGCGCTACAAAATATTCAATTCTGATGGAATGAGACGTGTGAGGCGACCAATCAATACAAGGTTTAATCCTAAATACGTAACACCTACAATTAAACACGGTAAAGGCAGCCTATTTTTATGGGATTGTTTCTCATGAAATGGGATGTAGGCCCAATACACTTTATTAATAACATGATGGACCGATTTGTTTATAGGGAAATGCAGAATGTTATGCTTCCTTATGCAGAATGGGAAATGCCACTGCTTTATTTTTCAACAGGACAACGATCCAAAACACTCTTCACAAGTTGTCCAACAGTGGTTTAGGGAAAATGACGTTCGAGTTTTGCAATGGCCAGCACAATCCCCAGACCTTAAACGCATTGAAAATCTCTGGGAAGAAGTAGAACGACGTATTCGTACCCAAATGTTTCCAAATAAACAATCCTTGATAGAAAAAATTAATGGAGTTTGGACAAATCCTCCCGAAAATGCCATTCAGAAGTTGATTGCTTCAATGCCGCGCCGTTGTCAGCAAGTTATTAATAATAATGAATATTCTATCAATTACTAATGTATTACTTTCAATTATTATTGTTGTTATATGTGTTAAATATTTTTTTTTGTTGAAATATAAGACACAATAAAATCTGTTAAATACAATTTGTTGCTCTACTTTTGTCGCCCCCATTCTCATCAATTTTTATAATCATTATTATTTACCATTTTTAAACTGATTAAAAGTACACCAAAATTTTGTAAAATATCACTTTTAGTGTAAGGATAGTGTGTTAGTAAACATAGCCGAAAATCACAACCTAATAGTTTTTTTTATTCAAACGTGAATAAAAATGAACTTTGTTGCTCTACTTTTGTCCGATAGACAGGAGATGTGAGACCTTGTTGGGAATCCCCTCTGGCATTTTGGTTGGGTCCATGCTCACTGTCTTGTCCGGCCCAAGAGGAACAAATAAGGGATGCGTGACTAGATAGAAGATTAGCTAACTCTACTTGTCTCAACCTTGGGGTACCAGGACACCAAGCCAGGATACAACCCATTGCATTCTCGTCATCCTTACTTTTACATGCGGTGCTCTGCAGAAGTGGACCGACTAACTCTTGCGGTGTATTGTAGCGACATCGCTTGGGGGTTGTTCGGTAGGATCGCTTAGACCAGGATCTCTCCTTCGATTAAAACCACCATTAGAAAAATATACATTTGTTGTGCAAAAATATACAATAGTTTACGGAAGTATGAAGAACAGTTGTTTGCCAGGACTTACAGAGTATGCCGGGATAATTCGTTCATTGAGGTACTTAAAACGACATCTTCCCTGGCTGACTGCTGAGTTCTCAACTATCTCACTAATTTACCGTCTATCCCTACTGATTAACTGTTTGACTATTAACTTACTATGAACTGACCATCCACTGTCCCGCTCTCTTCAGCATACTCCTTTTATATCTTCCTATTTCCCGTGATCATGAGGAAATCGAACTTCGGTGACCTGCGTTATATTTTAATTGTTTAATTATCTAATGTTATTTAATAACATATCTGGCTATATATCATGCAGGTAACCGATCTCTTGGGTCTACATCAAATTGGTTTACTGGAATTATATTTTACATCATTTTTTACCAATTTGATATACACCCCAGTTGACCTCTATTTAAGTCTTGGGAGTATCACCAGTTTTGTCAGAACTCCAATGTAAGGGCATCAAGTTGGCGAGTCATCAATTCGAGGAAGGGAGCCATCAGGTCCTCACAATAGGAATTGACCTCAAATTCAAGGAGGCAATAGAGAAAGAGAGATATATTCTCTATTATAGATCCGGGACAACACCGGTATCAAATCTAAGGAGAGACCAAGTTAAAGAGGTGGAGAAAATGTGGTGGACAGATCCTCCGGCCTCCACCTCAAGGGTACCTCAGCCGGAGACAAGTTCCTCGACTGCGAAGGATACGGAGTGTATATCCTCGTAAGAGGTAGATGTCCACTCCTCGGAGCATGAACAGTTTTGTTGTCAGAGGAGGACGTGAAACATCCTGTCCCCCCTACAACAGGAAGATCTCCATGTATGACGAGTGATAGACTAGATGATGAGTTATAACTCAAGAAAGGGGGACACAATAGATCTTTAAGGTCGCGGTGATTACCTCCCCCCCCCTTCATTCTACATTCTGCCTCTATTTATTTAACTACCTTATTAGTCTTTTGTTCAATATTGATATGCTCTCATATTTTTCTCTAGCAACCGGAAACACAAAACACATTACCGACGACAAATCAGATTCAACAAAACGAAGATATCCACGTGGAATTTATCAACATACCTGAAAGTACTACTGGACTGGAAGGTAAAACAAATTAATTTTAATTTTAAAGTTATTTCAAAAAATGATTTTGAAAATACAAATCGATACAAAATTATATTTACCTACAGTAAAGCCAAAGTTTCTATTAAGATAACGAGAGAAGCTCAGTTACCCATTTTTTTTGCCTAATCTCTCTACAGGGTGTTTCAATAAACATGTGCTATCTCTCGTGGGAAGATTCCTCACATAAAATTACGATTTATTTTTCATATCAACATAGGTCCGATTCTGCCTTGTTCCGTAGTTACAGGGTGTTAAAGTCTTAATAAAAATATATTTTCGATTTATTATAATTTTCTTCCTCTCTTAGTAATTCGAATTAAATTTTGAGGGAAAAGTTTCTATAAATGCATAAAATATTTTAAATCTAAAAAAGTGTCGACATATTCACCAGTGACGTGCATATGTGTTATCACTGAAATATTTTTCTAAAAAAAAACATGTATGCCACTGACTTTTTTTGTTAGCGAAATAGTGTAAGCAGTTTAATGCCGATTAAAAGTTGTCTTGATATTTTGTCGATTTCGGCCTCCTTAATGAGATAAACGCAATTTTATTAATTTGCCTTGTCCAAGTCTAATAGCAACCTTTAAAAAAATTTAATATCATTAACTTGCAAAAGTTTTAAATAAGTACTCATTGATTCCTCATCAAAAAAATATGAAAAAAAGTTCCTATAAACATGGATATGGAAATGCATAGTTCTAGAGTTACAAGATGTTAAACTTTTTTAAAATTAGGTTTTTTGTAATTATTTTAAATATCATTATTTTTTATCTAAAATTGCTGTATGTCGGACTAATAGTAATAATAACTAATAGTGCAGTGATATTTAACAATAAATTAGGTAAAATATATAATTTATTAATTTTGTATATACATTGTGATTAATAAAATTGCCTTTATCTCACCAAGAAGGCCAAATTCGTACAAAATATAAAGAGATACCTAACTTTTAAATGACGCACATGTTTTTTTTCTGAAAAATATCCCAGTTATAAATTATATGCACGTCCCTGGTGAATTTATCGACACATTTTTAGCATTAAAATATGTGTCACTTATAGTAACTTTTACCCCCAAAATTTCATTCGAATCCCTTAGAGTACTAGGAAGAAAATTATAATAAATCGATAAAAGAGATTATTAATATTTTAACACCCTGTAGCTATGAAACAAAGCAGAATCGGACCTATGTTGATATGAAAAATAAATCTTTTTTTACGTGAGGAATCTCCCCACGAAAGATGGCACATATTTTTTGAAACACCCCGTATAACATTGGTTTCAACAGTTTTTAACATTGCTTTTTTCAGATTTCCTCTCACCACCCGTATCCAAACAGGAACTAGTTAACGAATGCGGATTGGGCAGCGATTTCTTCATAACCGACATCAACCCCAATCAACTGGGACTAAGTCTGGCCGAAGCGGAGGTCGCCGAAGAGGGAATCTACGACGAAATGTCCCTGGAGTACTACGGGCTGAAGGAGTAGTATAGATAGTACGCGAGGAACGATTTATAACCTTATTATAACGATATTTTAAGTGAATATAAACGTTTTAAGAAATCTTAATATACTTTAAGTGCAAATATTACTTTATTTGTCGAGTCTATAATAATTAATTTACAGTATGGTCTCATGAGAATTTCAGAGTTCTCTGTGCTTCTAACTAAAGTTATTTAATTTTCCTTTAAACGATTTTCTTTTAAAATAGTAAAAACATTTTCATTTTCTCTCTTTTTCTCAAAGTACTAATAAATAATCAGAGGAATGTCGTGTCTTAAAACGTAAGATAGAGTATGAGGCGAAAGCCTTATTGTACATATTTGAAATTTATATACAGTTGGATTTAATATTTTTCTATTTCTTCCATAAATGAAATAGTAAGTTTGTTTGTAATTAGATTAGAAAAAATGTGCATTAATAAAATAAACGTAAAATTTAGAAACAAAAAGTATTTTATTTCAGAGGTACCGTAAAATGGGGTGAATAGAAACAGTTTCGTAGGCTATTAGCGATATACCGGTTGATAAAAATGTGGTATTATTTTCCCGAATATTTTAAAACATGGGTCTTTGTTTGTTCTTTGCGTATACATATAATTTGATTTTTGAAAAATATGCATATAAATATTAAATAAAAATAACATTTGTGTTTCTATTCACCTGCTATTCGGGAGAATAGAAATACACATTGATGTTAAGGTTTTTATCTATTCTATTTCCAACAAGGTGATTAAAAACAGTAGATTATTACATATTTAAGTAGGTTTAACAATAATTAACAATACATATAATATAACAACTTACATGTACCAGCTTATGTATTACTTTAAAAATAAATATTTTATTTATAAAGTTTTCGCGCCATACAAAATAGGTGATAAATCGATCTCACATTTATTGATCAGCTGATTGACAGAAACAGTGCTGCCACAGATAAAAATATAGTTTTTATATTTTATTGTGTATTACCTTTGAATAAGAAGACTAAGGAAGGAGCATAATGCTATCCATATATTCATGCATGGTGGGCGGAAAAGCCACCATAAAAGCTCTCTAGGGTGGGGATCCTTGACAGTTCTGTTTGACGATTCATTTGACACATTTGAATTTGATTTGAAATTTTGTGGATTTGTCAGTCTTTACGGAGCTTATTTTATGTTATTTATTATTTATTCTACTACTGATAGTTGTATAAAGGTAGTAAATCTAGATGGAAATTGTGTCAGCACTTAAATTAACAGTGACACTATCGCGATTTGTCGAAAAAGACTCTAAAATAGTTGGTTGTGTAGCGTGCGGTAGATCTCGGCAAAAATTGAGTGAAATAATGGAACAACTTTTCGCTAGTAAGTGACTATATAATATACATACGTGTAGTAAACCGATCATTTATGAAATTCACTTAAATTAACTAAATTATATATTTTTCCTGCATTTTAGCTTTTATTTATTACTTGTCAAAGATTAGATGTCAAAGAATTTAGATACGTTAATTTGACTTACCTGCTTCAGTAGCGTATCGGATGTTTGTGTTAATAAATACTTATTATAACTTATCTATTTTTATTAGAATTATATATTTTTATAACAATTTTAATAACTACCAACATTTATTCACAACGTAAAATAAAACAACAAATTATTGAGTCTACCCCACGTCTACCCTACATCATAGTGTTACATTTTTTAAATAAAATTAGAACGACACTGATAAACCGGATTTTAAGTCGGCCATATTTGAGGCCCATCGCGGTGTACCTAAGATTTTTGATATGCTCCTTTCTTAGTCTTCTTTTTCAAAGTGTATTACCAATGATAGAAAAATTAGATATGTCGACTCTTTTTACTTTGAATGTTTTTAATCGTGATTTGATTTTTTTCAGAAATTTTGTTTCTATTCACCACTATGTTTCTATTCCCCCCATTTTACGGTAGTTAAAATCAATAACCTGCTACTACCATACGATCGAAAAAAAAAATTCCAGTTGAAGTTGGCTTGGAAAAATCTATCAGAAAAAATGATACTCTACAGGGTGTTTCAAAGAACATGTGCCATCTCTCATGGGGGGATTCGGGGATTCCTTAAGTAAAAATAAGATTTATTTTTCATATCAACATAGGTCCAATTCTGCTTTTGTTTCGTAGCTACAGGGTGTTAAACTCTTAATAATCTTTCGATACATTATAATTTTCTTTCAAGTACTTTTAGTGATTGGGATGAAACTTTGAGGGTAAAAGTTACAATAAATGCCACGAATTCGACAAAATATTAAGAGATAACTGTTATTACATTGGCATTAAACGATCCCCACAATTTTGATGTGAAAAGAAATAAGTCAGTGGCGCACATGTTTTTTTTTTAATATTCCAGTGATAACCCATATGCACGAACCCATACAGGGGAACCCATACATACACAAAACTACATACTTTTTCCTATAAAAAAAGTACTCTTGTTGTACATCGCCCAGAGCGATGGTTTTCGAGAAAATTGAAGGCAAAGAGTTTGCTCTGATGGGTTGCTAACTGGTTAATCAACATAAACTTATGAAAGTTATGGCGGTTCAAAAGTAACCAAGTAGTTATTAAATAATTAATTGGAAAATCAAAATTTCATGATTTTTAAGAATGTCAATTATAAACTTGTGTATAGTGCTAATAATAAATTACAACAATTATTAGGTAATCCAAAAGATAGAACACCTCCACTGGAAAGGTCGGGTATTTATGAAATTTCTTGTAAAGATTGTAATCAGAAATATGTTGGGCAAACTAGAAGATCAATATTAACTAGATTTAAAGAACATTTAGCTCAGATAAGATATGGTAGACCGGATAAATCTTGCGTTGCCGAACATATTGTTGATAATGAACATTGTATAGATCTTAATAATTTAAAATTAATTAAACAAGTCTCAAATTACAGGCAATTAAATGCATATGAAAGCATCAGAATTAATAAATGTAAAGATAGTATGAACAGAGTCAACGGTCCAATTCCTTTAAGTTCTTTGTTCCTACTACTCTAGTGGCGGAAATCTAACTATTACGCTCAGTTGGCTAGATTTTGCCACGCCCACTCGGTGCCCATTGGGCGAGTATATAAACGCTCAACTTGTAGATTGTACTTTAGTTTATAATCATCTGCTGATGATGCTAACATGGTTAGCGAAACGCGCGTCCAGTGTAAAAGTAAAAGTGTTTTGGTGTATTGTGATGATTTAGTGTTTTTATTTTGCTGTGTAACACCAAAGGTTCCAACCCTCAACTGTAAACATCTTATTGCTTTAAAAACGAAATAAACCAATTATCAAAATTCCTTATTAAAATAATGCATTCCTTAATTCATTCATAGTAAAGTTTAAAGTGACCACCATTCATTTCAATGCAGACATCTGCTCCAAGATATGCGTACCTTCTGGAATATCCTTGGTATTGTCCAAATTTGATTGGAACAGTCAATAATGCGTTGCCGTAGTTGCTCTTCAGTATTAATCGGCACTGAGTAAACCAAAGCTTTCAAGTGGCCCCAGAAGTAGAAATCTAGTGGATTATTTCGTTTTTTAAAGCTAATAAGATGTTTTAAAAATCATGAAATTTTGATTTTTTAATTAATTATTTGATAACTACTTGGTTACTTTTGAACCGCCATAACTTTCATAAGTTTATGTTGATTAACCGTTGCAAAAAAATAACATCAAAAAAGTTATTGACGAACCAACCCCTTACCCTTGCAAAAACTACCCTTTCCGCTTTTCCAAATAATTTTTCAGTATCACCATTTAATTTAGGGTCAAAATTTATGGCAGAGCATTTTTTTCGAAATTTTATCTCGTTTTTTAAGCCTGCAATTTCCAAACAACCGTTTTTTAAATTCACCATTTAAGTGCACCTAACTCCCTTAATATGCATTTTCCGCCCTATACTTTTTTTTACCATCACCCTATGATTTTTTACACCAGTTCAATGACACCCTGTATAATATACCTACATGAAAAATATACGCTTTCGCTTGGAACTTGTAACTTTTGTTAGGACATGCCGGTATGGTATTTGGTATTTCTATACTCTTCAATTATAATATGTTGGAGGTTTACAGGGTTACACAAATAAAACTAGATCTTTTATTTATCATTTTTTATAATTTCCATACAAATTATAAACATGATTTTTAAAATACTGTACAACATACAGAGCGCAAAAAGATGCATTAAATTTTATATACCTTTTGATATGGCATTCATAGATATGAACTCGAAATTCATACTTTTTCTTTATAGCACACTTTTTTTAGAAGACCATCTTGAAGATAATATAGAAATATATTCGTTTTGTATTTGTTTCATGTAATGGTTAAATTAACCAAGGTGTGTTTACCGATTAATCAATAATAAAAATAATTACACGTATTTTTGAATGTAAATTTTGAATTCAGTAAACATACCCGAGATATTTTAAAATTGCGAACTAAAAAAGTACAATTATTTAACAAAAAAAAACGATAGCCGCCACATTTTTTTGATTTTGGATAGAAAATGTAGATTTATCATTTATATTTACATACTTTTTGAAAAATTTTTGTACACTGACACACATCATTTAGTCGATAAAATATAGATTCTTTTAATATTAGTTATTGTTCATAGAAGTCCCATTAATTTTGATACATTTTTCAAAAAAAATACTGAAATTTCTACTCAATAAATTCTTCATACTTACAAATACATATCTTCACAGAAGATATTATTATGTGTCAGAGAAAAAGAAATAAAATACATGTTAAGAAGAGTCCTAAATTAAAAAAAAATATACTAACATATTAAAATTAAGGAGCTACCGATATCATCAAAATAAATCTTTATTTTTTCAAATATTAGAGATCAAAAATCATTGCCACCTGGTTTTTCATATTTTCCATTTATTTTAAATACTTTAGACTAATAAGAGATTTTATTTCATCCATTGCACGACTTTGGTTATTGGTGATATTTAGTTCTTTTAATATACAGGGTGTCCCAAATGTAGAGCCTCATTATTTGGATATCGGAAACTAGAACCGATAAGACGATTCGCAATTTGATACTGCAATATGTTTATATACTGCAATATAATTTGATACTGCATACTATCAAAATGGCAACGTTCAAAAATCCCGAATAAATCCGAAGATTTTTAATTTAATACTCCATTTGAATCGATATAACAAAATAAATTTCACATTTTTATTGATATTTTTTCTGTTCGACTTATTTTGTTATATCTGTATATACCGATCTGGTCATCGAAACTGCGTGATCTAGATTTTAACGTGTAAGACAGTGATGTAGACAGCTTAAGGGAAAATAAAATGTATTAAAAAGAGATAAAAGTTGAGTTGACCTTATATCTCTTCTAGTTTCCATGATCATAATAACGAGGCTCTAAATTTGAGACACCCTGTACATGTATTATAAATATTTAAATAAATTATTATACAAAAAATAAGTTATTTCAATATTGTTATAAAAATGAGTAAAAACTCTAAATATAGCAGATATACCAAATATCACCAACAATATAATGATATTTCATATTAATATTACAAAATACTAATCTCAAATACGTCTGGTTTAAATGTAAGCCAATCAGGAAGCAAAACTAAAATTATATATAAAAAAATAAAAATACTAAGTATTTTTATCATGTTTCTTTCAAATCTCGCCATAAAATCTATAATCATATTTTTTTATACATATAAAATGTTACAAATTATCATCACAAAGAGCAAACCCTTAAAATTATCGTTTTTAAACCTAAATAAATTCTTTGCCTTAACTTAAACTTCTCTCAGCTCACAACTTGATTTCTTCTTTTTCTTTATTTTTTTAAGTAAATATAATTTTCGAAAAGTAAAAAAAAAACGTATTTGTTTGATAGAAAATCAAATTCTGAACTGTTTCTCTTAAAAAATATTGCAAGTATTGTTAAGCAGACGTAGAAAAAGAACAAAATAACTTATGTCATTTCTTTTTGTAATCAGTACTTCCCAAAGAAAACATCAGGAGAAAAAAATAAAATAAATATTTTATAATTAAACTTACAAAAACTCGAATATAACCTAAAATCTTTCTTCATTTAACTTAGTAGTTCTTTGAAATTTAAATCAATCTTTTATCGAAAAAATTAAGTACCAAAATTAGAGTTTTTAAATGATAAAAAGATGTAGAAAAGTCAATCAAAAGTAGTTGTGCGTATTTGGGAACTAACTTAAGTCTAAAACAAATTGACAAAATTAAAGTGTAGTAAACTATCATAATAAAAACGAAAATATAAATATGTATGCATATTTAAGGATTTTGGGCGACAAGAAAATATATTTGTAAAAATAAAAATATATAATATGTTTAGAATATGACAAATTAATGATTATAACTGTAAACTATTTTATTGCACATACATTTTCCTTTTTTTATATATTATGTTTGATTTTTTGAACATTAATATGTCCAAAATTACAGTTATTGGCAAGAAGTCTTCATTTATTTGGTTTTTGACACATTCCTAAAGATGTCTAAATAAACAAGACTATTATTCTAAACTAAGAAGAAAATATTAAGATTATAAAATCTAGTATAAATAAATTATATACAATTTTCCTCTCGCCCAAAATGAATCAGAGAACGGTTGTCACAACTCAAGGGATATAAGAAACTGTGTTTCAACTTAAACTTATTCTAGAGGGTCAACAAAATCGTAAAAAACGAGAAATTTTACAATAATAGACAATTAGGGGTATACTAAAACATCTGATTTAATTCTAACTTTATGAAGTATTTTAAAGAATTTCAGTTCAAAAATTTTATTATTGTTATTATAACTTTTTGCAAGTACGGTTGACAATTTTAATATTTTTTATGTTAAAATAAAGTAGTTTTATTAATTATCCAGTTAGAGTAGTATGTTTTAGGATTGTGTCTCATTAGCAATCAAATTTACTTTTGTACAAATTAAATTTAAAGTTTCTTTCAATGATGATTTAACTAAACAAGAACAGATTTTAATTTGTTCATATGTCTCTTTGCCTTGTAATTTTATATAAATACAATTTAATAGCATAATTAAAATAAATAAAAAACACCAAATAATCTAGATAAAAAATCACTCACTAAAAATTGATGAAAACCAGTTTAAAACAACTGTTCTTTTCTACATAGTTGGAATTCTTTATGACAAATAAAAGCAATACCAACATATTATATTTCCAATAGAATTTTTTTTAGATAACGCCGATATTTTAAATAATGAAAATTTTCGTTCCTTTCAGGTATAGAATTCTTGTAATACATATAATAATAATATATATTATGTATTCAGTAGGGTGTACCAAAAAAATATATTTCCTTTTTAGTTACCGTGAAAGTATCGTTCAGGACGATAAAAAAATCTGGAAGGTATCATATATGATTTGAAGTTGAATTTTTACCTTCAATAACTTTCAAACGAGTCGATTAAGTGAAAATTCAACTTCACCAGAATTTTTTTTCGTCGTCCTAAACGATATTTTCACGGTAACTAAAAAAATATTGATTTTTTTTGGTGCACCCTAAGTATACATAGTGTAAGAGCTAACAACGTTTTCGAGAAAGTATTTTAAGACGTCTGGCTCTTTGATATATCTTTTACTATACTCTCTGGATCAGGATGCGGCACGTCTGGCTGCCGATACCCGTTGCGTTCACTACAGCGCATCGGAAGAAGATCCTATATTTTTTATTAATTTAGTTCTATAAATTCTAGTAGTGAATATAAATCGAACGTGTCTCCATAGCGCAGTGCGTAGAGATTCCGACCACGAACCGATGATTCAGAGTTCGAATCCGGGTCATGACAAAGACTTTTTATTTTATTTTCGTTTATATTCTGATAGTAAAGTATTAAATAGTTGGTGGTTCAAAAAAAAAAGAAATATTTAATACTTTACTATCAGAATGTCAACGAAAATAAAATAAAAAAGTCTTTGACCTGACCCGGATTCGAACTCTGAATCATCGGTTCGTGGTTGGAAACTCTACGCACTGCGCTATAGAGACATGTTCGATTTATATTCAATACTAAAATTTAAAGGACTAATTAAAATATAGGATCTTCTTTCAATGCGCAGTAGGTTACGCAACGTTTACCGGCAGCCAGACGGGCCGCATGCTGTTGTAGAGAGCATAGTAAAAGATATATCAAAGAGCCAGACTAAAAAAAAAATACTTGTTTTTCCGACGTTGTTAGCTCTCGTACTAACAGTTTTATGTCAAAATTTTTATGTTTGGACATCAAACAGTTGATACCAAATGTGAATGTAATAAAAATCAATATACAGAGTGACATCTTGGCTTGGAAATATTTGTTAGTCCAAAAAAATACTTTTAGGAAGATCTTAATTAAAATTAAAAGATCTTGAATTTTTATGACAAAACTTAAATAAAAAATGCCAGATTTAAAAAATGTTTACTTTTAAACTGTAAAAATAAAACAACAAACTTGTGTCACACAAAGTAGATTCCTACTAAAAAAAATTGGTTACCTACCCTCTACGATGTCAGGCAGTCAAAAGATCTTACTGACAATATTTTTTTTATAAAAAATATTTTGATTGCTACTTTACAAATTATTACCCTGTATATAAATTTTATTATCAGCAATTACTAATGGAAACTTTAAGAGCCTATTGAATCATGTTAAAAAAGTGCTATATAATATAGTATATACATTTCTTAAAACCTGAATGGATTCTTACTATTTTGATATTAGATATTTATAAAGTCAACACGTACTAAACACATGTTCTATGTAAAAAAACAATTATTAAGTTAGTAGAGTATGTTCAGAATGTTTTAGTACCCGTGAAGGAGGAAAACATGGCAAAAATTTCTGTTCGTAGTACACAATTTTCTCTCTTAGCTACTGTCCAAAGTAACCGATTAATACTAGTATTGTGGATGTGTAGGCACTGAAGTGAAGGGATGCGAGCACGATCCCACGCTCGGGCTAGTCTTTCACTAGCCTGTAGATATGGTGTTGTGCCCCGTGTTCGGATGTCGACACTTCAAACACATAAGCGGTACACAGTAGCGTTTCTTGGGTGTCCCTATTGCTCACCACCTGGAAAAGGTTAAATTATTATTTTTAGTACAAACAAAGAAAGAAAATTTCAAAAATTACTTAAGCTCCAACAGTAATGACAATTTTCCGCCGTATAATATTCAAAGCCAGTAAAACTCTATTCTTAGATAAATATCTACACTGGGTGACTTCAAGTTAATGTATTCAAAAAGCAGGAATTACTATTTTAGGAACGAAACATTTTCTTATTCAACAAAATGGCGGCTTTCACTTTGTTGTTTTGGAGATTAAGATGGAGTAGTTCGAGTAGTCGCATACTGGACTAATAAAGTCGCAGTTCAGCCTTAACAGGTAGTCGTAGGTTAACAATATACTAGTCGCAAGATTGCCTAATTTAGTCATTCTAGAGTCTAGCTTGTGTCGCCCTCTATATTCTAAATAAACGAGGGGCTTATAAAGTATCGGTAATATGTCGATGTATATTTAAATTTAGTTTTATATGTGCCTTTCTTACGTCCCATTTTAATTAAGTTTTTTTTATAAAAACAAAAACAGCACTGAACTGTCTAACTGAACAGAACAATGAAGTGAAAATTTAAGATTTAAGGTTATGGTTCAATACAGTTGCAAAAAGGTAATGGCTCGACGTCCTACCAACGTAAGAATAAGGAAATTTAAACAACGTTGGAATTAGTAAAACAGACGACGTTTGCATAACGTTGGAATAGGTCCTGAAAGTGACGTCGGAAAACTCTTTATTGCCCAACATTGTAACTACGTTGTCCGAATCACCTAAAGATCACTTAAGCAAAAAAGGTAACAAGACAACGTTTATTCGACGTCGCAGAAGCTTTTACTTTGTTGTAGTACTAGTTCAACGTTGGTACAACGTTACAACAACGTTTACATTTATTTTAATACCCAAGGTACGGAGCTAACTATTTTTTGTAACTAATCCAACGTTGTGTTTAGTGAACATGTGGTCGCAAGTCGTGAAAATGCTACTTGGGCGTTTTCTCTGTATTTTACTACGGAAAAATATTTTTTGTTACTCTGAATTTTGAAGCGACCAATAAAAACAGAAAATAAAAATCGATAATTTTCGGACTGTGCCAATTGGTTACTAATCGACGAGCTCCCATACCCCCTTACCAACCACCCACGCCCACCAAAAACTAATGGCCAGATTATCGGGTGCCACAGTATGTTTGTGCCAAATTTGGTTAAAATCGGTTTAGCGGTTTTTGAGTTATCGTGTTACAGACGGACAGACCGACACCATGAAAATATTTTGTATTTAGGTCATTTTGAGTAAAATTAAAAAAAACTTTTTTTTTGCCGATCTTAATAGCCTACCATACCTGTTGGTATGGTCGGCTAAAAATTGAAAAATATTTTTTGTTACTCTGAATTTTGAAGCGACCAATAAAAACAGAAAATAAAAATCGATAATTTTCGGACTGTGCCAATTGGTTACTAATCGACGAGCTCCCATACCCCCTTACCAACCACCCACGCCCACCAAAAACTAATGGCCAGATTATCGGGTGCCACAGTATGTTTGTGCCAAATTTGGTTAAAATCGGTTTAGCGGTTTTTGAGTTATCGTGTTACAGACGGACAGACCGACACCATGAAAATATTTTGTATTTAGGTCATTTTGAGTAAAATTAAAAAAACTTTTTTTTGCCGATCTTAATAGCCTACCATACCTGTTGGTATGGTCGGCTAAAAATTGAAAATATATTTTTTTCGAAATTTAATCAAAAAAGTAAAAAGTTTTATGTTTTCAAAAAAATATTATCGTAAAATTCGTAAAACATTCAATTTAGAATAATATAATCTAAGAATCAAATGATTCTTTTATAGATCTGCATCAAATCAAATTAAAGTAGGTATGTTACATGTTACTTTTTAAAATACGAATTAACAGTAATTAGCATTATCATAAATTATAAATAACGTACCAACATATCGAAATAATAATTTCTTTGTTAATACGGTTTAGAATTCTTAAAATAACAGGCAAAAATAACCCACAATCGACAATAAAATTAAAGTTTCGTTTAAATTTCTTAATCAGCAATTAAAGTCCGCAGTATCTGTGCTATATTATTACATTATTCTGAGAAAAATAACGAAAATAATCGATATTTTTGACTCCGTCCCTAATCACATGTTTCATTCGTTTAGAGCTTCAGGATTTGTCCACCAGCTGGCAGCACATTTTGTCCTACCGGTTGAGTAACTTTAAGAATATATTTACAAGGCTATTAGGTACTGACCTGTAGAATAGTGAAATTTTCGAGAACGCTGTTCATCATGTACTTTTCCGGTAGGTGCTTGAGTTTGTGGATGAAATTGATCATGTACTCGCACATGGGGCTCCTGTGTATTCTGTAGACGAACCGGCCGTTCTCGTACCGAGCGTACTCCGTCTCCACCTTCTCCACCACTTGTTTGCCGAACGAACATACTTTGGTCGAACACGTTATCGTCATATTCTCGTTACTCTCGTATCTGGAAAATTAAAATAACTTGTTAGAAATAGTTCTTTACTCTTGGAGACTATAAAAGGTTACTAAATTATACTCAAACTAAATCCTAATCATTAAACATAATATATCACTATATTTATACTATGTATACAGGGTTGTTCACCACATACGACACGAAATATTGTAGCTAAACGATTAGATTTTTACAGATTGTAAGTATTGGGTTCGTTGAAGGGCTATTAGCGCTACAATTTAAAAATATTTTTACAAGATACAGTGTGTCCCAAATGAGTAAAAAATATCAAAGTTGTATACTTTTTTAAATGGAACACCCTGTATATTAGTACATTTTTAGTTTCTACGATTAAAATAAAGGTAAATTTGATTAAGGTTTATCATACTTAAACCTTACCGTTTTTGAAATACTTTCACTTTTGTGAAATTTCAGTAAAATATTTAAGGCTCCTTCTCCAAGTGTATCAAAGTTTTTAATACTAAATATTTACTGAAAATTATCTATTAATGAGATATTGTGTTGCAATAATAAAAATAATACTACCTTATACAGAGTGTCCAAAAATTTATTTTCAATAATTTCTAGCTTTAAACGGCAATAACTTGATTAATTTAAATGGAACACCCTGTATATTTTAGGAGAATCAGATGCACAATTTAATTGTCTATCACATTTAATTATACCATTTTTTACCTATCCCTTCAAGTTTTCGTACAAATTGCATTTTCTTATAATTTAGACCTCCTTTATCAATATATCCATGGCATATTGACGTTTTAGATTGTTTTTAAAGCAACAAATGTACAAAATATACAGGTGCTAAAAACGATAATATTACTAGCCCATTTGTAAACAAAAAGAAAACTATTTAAATCTTTATAAAAGAGTATACTTACCATTAATTAAATATACCACCATTATTTTCGCCCAAATATTCATTAATTACATACTTAACTGTGTTAGTTGATAAATTATTCTAAATAAATGCGGATTTGAATAAAAAATCAACATAATAATAAGTTATGAAAATGAACGTCTCTGTTGTTATAAATAAGCATTCGTCAAAAAATTAAATAATTTTTTTAAGGTGTTACTTTTTACCACACTGTCTAATACACATACAAAATTCAGTTCTTTAGTATTTGGAGCAATTATTATTAATCAACGCAAACAGTCAATTAATGTAGTTTGAATACTGGAATCATATTAATTAGTCCTCTTTAACAAATATTTAAACAGTTTTTTTTTTATTTTTTTAATGAAATAAACAAAATATATCGAAAATATTAATATCTGAAAATTTGTTACATCTTTAAAAATAATCTAAAATGTCAATATTCCATGGGTATATTGATAAATGAGGTCTAAGTTATAAGAAAATGCATTTTCTACAAAAACTTGAAAAGATAGGTAAATAATGGTATAATACAATTTGATCGACAATTAAACTATGTGCCTGATTCTCATAAAATACATACATGGTGTTCCGTTTAAATTAAACAAGTTATTTCCGTTTAAAGCTAGTGAATATTTAAAATAATTTTTTTCTCTATAAGGTAGTATATTTATTATAATTGCAAACCAAAACTTATTAAATAGAAATACTTTAGTACAATATTTGGTTTTAAAAACTTAAATACGCCTAGAGAAATGAAGCATTACTGAATTTTGACAAAAACCCAAATATTTCAAAAACGGTAATGTTTAAGTATGATAAACCTTAATTAAATTTACCTTTATTTTAATCGTAGAAACTAAAAATGTAATAATATACACGGTGTTCAATTTAAAATTTAATAAACACAACTTACGCGTAAAAAACACTTTTTCGCATAAAAACTATTTTTTACGCGTAAAAAAATATTCATTTAATTTACTAATTTTTCAACATTTCAAACGACACTTTTTCAAATATGTCCTTAAATCCTTCAATTCAATAACTGTTAGTAAGAAGTTTCACAAATTCATTTCATTAAATAAATTAATTAAATTTATTTATTCATTTCATTTCGGGTGGCTGCAACGATGTCCCGAAATCCTGCTGTCAAAACATATCAGCTGGTTTTTACATATAAAAAAAACAATTGTTATGTTTTAACAGCAGGATTAAGGGACGTCGTTGTTGCAACCATGAATCATTAAGCATTTTATTAAATTATTTTATTAGGTAATTTTTATTATTGAAAGTTGATGCTTAAGAATAACCTTTACAAAAATTCAAGCCGAACTTGTATTTTTGGTTTACTTACGAGCTGGTGACTCCGTAGAACGCTCCCGCCTCGTCCTGGATGTTGGAGTTGAGGTCGGCCCAGAACTTGACCAGAAAGAAGGCGTTCTGCGGTCCCTTGTCGTAGAGCTCCTTCAAACCGCCTTTTTTCTCGGGGAATTTGTCGTAGATTTGTCGGACATCCACGGCTTCTAAGAGGGGATCGGTGTACGATAGGGCGGGGCCTCCTATGTGTACGAACAGGTGCTTTTGATACTGGAAAATGAAAGACAATAATTAGCTGGATATACTTGGGAATTTGATTCTTATTTTATAAATATTATTGTCCTAATTTCATGAATAAGAAATCTTTAATAAAGTAAAGAAGTGTCTTGTTTTGCATCTATGGTTGGCTTATTCTATTGGCATCATTTTCTGCTTTTAGCTCTTCGGACACCAAACGGCCGCCATCTTGGGTTCCAGTGCTCCAGACAGTCTCGTCTGTACTAAAAGTGCAATGTATTCAGTACAATAAGATATACTGAACAAAGAGAGAAGAGCAAGTGTTATCCAAAGTGGGCATGAAATAAAGTGCTCCGGATTAAGTGGCATTTCTCCGACTTACAAGATCGCCATAGCGATTCACTCCTAGGCATGTAAATACCGATCCAAGACTTACCGATACGGTATAGCTTCAAAGGGTGCGAAAAGAATTAAACAAGGAATGGTTCTAAATGGTTTTTGCAGTGGCGAAATACCCATATAGGATTTTTTGGAGAGATGAATCCGCCACATAGGTATAGACATTTTTTAAGGAATGGTTCTATAGTGATTTAGAGCTTATGGAATTAACAAATCTTGCCAGAAGAAGAAACACATTCTGTCAGTGCGATACCCTGCCGAATGTTTAGTTTTTAGTACTAGGCAATGATAAGCCATCAATAAAGGACTGTATGGAAGATTCAGTACCCAAATTTGTGAAAAGGAAACGACTGGAGAATGTATTGTATTTATAGATCAGAGGGTCAAAATAGATCCGAAAGGTTGCGAAATAGGTCAAAATCCACCTTATAATATACCTATAGTCTAGTATAAATACTTACTGCTTCTTCTCTGCTTTGGGATTCCATGAACGCCGAAAATTCGACCAGTCTGAGTTTGTGCGTGGCGATGGCTCTGCCTTCCCAGACGGGAGGTGGCGCTGCCTGCAACGGTCCAACGTCTCCCGCCGAAACCGCCGTTGCCGGTTTTCCGCCGGGGTAGGCTGCCTGTGCGAATGGTTTAACACTGAAAAGAAGTGATAATAATTTAGAGTATAAGGAATGGGTAGCAACAAAGAATTAACTTAATTATTTTCAAGTAATTTTTAATGTGTCTTCTTATTATTATAAGTTGAATTATGTATTAGGTAAATATACAGTGAGGCGATTTGAAAATTAGCAATCAAAACCATATTCTATTAAGAATCAATAACTGTAGGAGTATTAGAGAAGTAACACTTGATACCCCGGATGTGTATTTGAGAATTCTGACACTTTTTTTAACCATTTTTATTTTGCCCAAGATATTATTAATCTACAAAAATGTTGCTTAATATACTAGGCTTAGCAAGGTTTGGGTTTGGGTCGAGATTTCCGTATGTAAGAAGAGTATACTATAATACATATATATATATAATACAATGCATCTATAATGTACCTACTTAACAAAGAGAGAAGTGTAAAAACGTTGCCAAACGTATGAAATAAACTGAGAAACTGTGTATATTGTTAAGGGACGTGGAAGGGGATATGGCAGCTTCGTCGCGGTCGACACAGTCACGCCGCATAAACATAAAATTAAAATTGAAATCCAGAGTGCCAGTACTTAGAATTTTAGAAAAAGGTGTACAACATGCGTTTAACTTCACGATTTAATTACGTCTCATTATACTTTATTTGTTTATTTATTAACGAATTGTTCTAATTTTCCTCATAGCTTGTAAATTATTAAATGCAAGTTAGAAATTTTACAACGACTCTAAAATGCCCAGAAATTCGCCACTTTTGGAAAAAATAAGTGGAATTTTGAGTTGGTCCTAGAAATCTGAATTCAAAAATCGATATCTCGAAATCCATTAGAAATAATTGAATGTGTGTTTTTTTAATTTTTTCGGATTTTCGGACAGTATGTGAAAAAATCTTTATAAACAAAAAAGTTACATAATTGCTGAATATTTCCATGCACTAAAAGTTGATGGACACGTTTTTTAATTTTTTTTGTAAAAAAATAAGCCTGTTAAAATTTTCTTGTTTAAACATATTGTGTAAGATCTGAGCTTAAAAATAAAAAAAGAAAGTTTCCATATCTAAAGTGGTGCTTGAGTTACCGCGATTATTGGCGTTTTGTCACTATTAAAAAAAATGGACACCATTACGATTTTCGTCGATCTTCTTCTTATAACTCGATCTCAGGTGCCCAGAAATATATCTAATGATTTTATCTAGTTATATATTCGAAAAAAAAAATAGAAATAAGCGTCTTTCGACCAGGGAAACGCGTACCTGTATCTCCGATAAATGTGGCAACGCCGCAACAGCACACCGTCGCATTTTTCTCACTCCTACTTATTAAGATCCCTACGCGATTCACCTCCACAGATGTAAATACCGACCCAATAGCAACTTTAGAAAAAGAGCTTTTTAAAAAAGAGCTAAATGTTATATTCAACTGCTGCCCAAACACATCTCCAGTTATCAACAATATGTAACTAAATATAGTTCGTAACAATAACCGATAAGTAACTTTGATAACATGGATTCCATTGAACTTTCAAAAAAAGCAAGTAAAAACCATAAATTAAAAAAAAAGGAATACAAAATGAGAATCATACACCCAAAAGTTATGAGTAAAGCATAAGAAATTTGGGACATTGCTTTAATAACTTACTCTAGTATTAGGTTAGACAAACAACAGCAATAAAACTATATTTTTGTTTTTTTAAACGAATAAAATAATCCTATAATTTTGAAAATAGAGTTAAGTGATATAACAACTAGAAAAGTCTACTTTTACCTCACATAAGGAGATTATTACATAACAAAATATATATTTAAAAATAAAATGAATAGAAAAACAGAAATCCTCAGTTTTTAATAAAGGCCTAGGAATGAATAAAAATAAAATTAAAATAGAGCTGAACTACTTATATTCTGTTATTTGTTTTCAATATTCAAAATCGCCTTTTATTTTTATTTAACTCGATATCTTAATAATTTTAATGTGTACGATGTATTGTATGAAATATTACAGATACAGATGGGAAACCTTTACATTCAAACACTTTCCTAAGTATAGTAAAGAAATTTAAAGCATTTTAAGCACTTCATTCTTTTAGTTAATTTTATTAATCACGTTGTTTGGCATCATCAATAAATGGTTAAAACAAAATTAATCAGTTATTGATTATACTAACATTGTTAGCAAAAAGTATTACAAAATTGTAAAGCGAAAAGGAGTTAGTTATACACCAAAATATAAAAAAAACTTACTCTTGTGACGTTCCAGGTTGAATGCCAGGTTGCCAGAATTGCTGAAATAAACAAAATATAAACATTATTAAATTTTCAATAAACTGCTTTAAACAAGAACCGTACAAATCACAACAAAAATTAAGCACTTCAACAATTATATTCGAATGAATGTATATTATGTATGTAACTATAGTATATTGGCCAGATATATATCGAGAAATGCAACACACAGCAAGTAAGCAGTTTTATTTTTGTCATAAAATGTCAAAAAATATGTTAGTTTGCAGTTGGGGTCAATGCGCAAATAAGCAATAAAATTTTAAATAAAAACAACACGATTAATATGACATCAAATATATTTGGTTTTTAAACTTGGGAACGTCCAAACGAATGTATGTTAATAAGGGACTTAAAATGAAAAGGATCAAATTGATTTTTTCTTAAAAGAGCAGATTTAGATACTTTAGGTGCCAATTTATTTGGTATAAAAAAGAATTAAGGTAAATTATACAATGACTCTATAAGTTAGAGTTGTTATAGTAAGTTAAGTTTGGATCCCTTTTATTCTAAGCACCTATTGTTTACGAGTAACGGTTGATTCTCACTATACCTTCCATATCAGTTCCTTTCCGTTTCCTTTCCGTTTACATAAAATATTATATCATGTAAATGAATAGGACAATGTACACTATTCGTTCCGTTTCCCTTCCGTTACATATCCTTTCCTTCCATTTTTTTGGCGGATGGACTGAAGCGTGTCGGAAAGAGCGTTGTCAAGTTCTTACAGTATTGATGTAATCGGGAAAGTCTATGAGAAACTCATCAATACGCGACTCTTGGAAGAAATTAGGAAGAAACGAAATGGTATGCATCGAAACCAGTATGGATTTGTAAAGGGGAAATCTACCACACATGCAATGAAGAAAATATCGGATATCGTGAAAAGAAAAGCCACTTGGCATAATGCTTTGATTTTAGTCGACGTTAAAAATGCATTTAATTGCGCGTCATGGGAAATAATTATTAAAGAACTTAGAAGATGGGGCATAAGTGGCTATTTGGTGAACATAATAAGAAGCTATCTTGATAATAGATTTATAGTTCTCAATAGAGAAGATGAAAGAGAGGTATTCGGTGGCGTTGCACAGGGCTCGGTGCTGGGGCCAACTCTGTGGAACATATTATACGACAGTGTCATGGAGCTTACTGTACCAGATGGGACAGAGTTGATCTGTTACGCCGATGATCTTGCTGTGATAATAACAAAAAAACTAAAAGAAACAAAAAAATAAACGACCTCGACCTAATGCAGACTGTGGATGATACACTAAAGATCATAGCCAGATGGATGCGTGAGAACAGACTCGAAATAGCTGTGGAAAAAACAGAGGCGATTTTACTGAGCCGCAAGAGAAAAGTTGACCATATAAGGTTTAATTTTAAGGATATAATAATAAATCCAGTAAAGCAAGTCAACTATCTTGGATTCCACATAGACCGTGCACTCACGATGGGCCTGCACATCAAGGAGGTGTGTCTGAAATCACAACGAACTGCTAAAGCGTTGTCTGCAATACTGCCAAACGTTCGGGGCCCAACACAAGCAAAGAAAAGAGTGTTAGCATATGCGTGCCAGAATATTATTATGTATGGAGCACCTGTGTGGAACGAAGCAACCAATATGCACGTAAATAAAAAAAGACTTGAAGGAGGACAGAGAGTCATGGCTTTGAGAGTCTGCTCGGCGCGGCGTATCGGACAACTTCAACTGAGACAGCCTTGGTGATATCGGGTCTGGTGCCGTTGCATCTTCTCTCAAGAGAAAGAGACGGACAAACCAGGGCAAGCAGAGAGATGGAGAGAAACCGCTCAGTGCAGCAGTGGCAGGCAGAATGGGAAGTATCGCAAAAAGGAAGATGGACATATAAGCTCATCCCAAATATAAATATGTGGATTAAAAGAAAGCATGGAGAGGTAAACTTTTATCTTACTAAAATATTGAGTGGTCACGGAAATTTTGGGAGTTACCTGTTTAAATTGGAAAGAGGGAAGTCGCGGAATGCCGATACTGTGCTGAATCCAATAATACTCCAGAACACGCAATGTTTGCTTGCCCAAGATGGGAACAGGAAAGATGTGAGGCACGCATGACGATTGGTGGCAACATCTCCGCAGAAAGCTTCTTAAAATCGGTAACAGAAAGAAGAGAAAACTTTGAAGCCATCTCAAAACTGGCCCAAAATATACTAGAGGCAAAATACAGCGAAGAGCAGGGGTAATGAAACAAAAAGAACAGTCCGGCGTCTACTTGAGGAGATGCGTCCAGCGGGTCCAGGTAGACGTGGCAGGAGCGAGGGGGTGATGTTTAGTGGGTAGTGTCCTCCAGGCAGCCTTAAGGAGAGATTGAGTCCCACACTCCGTACGTAAAGGTATTTTACACCTCCAAATAAAAAAAGTTCTTACATTTGTACCAGCTCTGGTAAAATTTTGCTGATATTTATTTATTTTTTCACTTCTTAATTAAATCTATTACTTTTTCAAAATGGTACAGATTGTAAAATAAAAAGTATGGAACTGATACGGAACGGAAGCTTACGTATAGCGTCAATACAATAAAAATACGGAACGAATATGGAATGGAAACGGAAGGTATAGTGAGAATCAACCTTTAAAAGCCACTGACAAGCTGGTTTCTGCTTTAATAAAAAGATTTTGTATCAGTGGGGAAATACCCAGGTCTTTTTGAAGAAACCCGCTGTATATTTCAACTTATAGTATTTCCTAATTTAACATTTACATTTTTATTTATTTTCATTCAATTTTTAAATGTAAATACCTGCATAACAACTATTTAAAGCGGATAATTCCAGTAGCTACCTGTTAAACTCAATTAATTGCTGATAAGAGTTTTGAGGAGCTGATTATAAGATTCAACGATTATCTGCCGGTTGTTTAGTTATTAAGATAAAATTTAAAAAAAGTTGCTATCGTAGAAGTTATCATTTTATACCAAATATATTTGATTTCTGACAGAATCGCGCACATATACAGACAGTGTAGCAGCGTAAAACGTAGATCCAATCAGCCCATAAGCTCCAAGAGCTGAAAATAGAAGAGTTACTAAACAAACACCAGATATGTATAAAGAAATATAGTATACCCTAAAATAATCCTTTAAGTATATTCGATACCAATTAAACTTTTAGTTACGAAATCGAGGGTGTGATTTTTAAAATCACTGTTGCCAATCATTAATAAATAAATGCGGAAATATGTATTTTATATTATGTATATGTATAATATATATATTAATAATAATGGAAAAATTAATAATAATGGAAATATGCGGCGCCGCGCCGGCGCCGGTCAGACTAAATAGAATTTGAACTTCCCGCTGGGGATTCAAGTGGCAGCTCTGCTGTCAAAAATGTGAAGTTGTCACATTTATTTATTTATTTATTTTCTGATATTGGGCGCGTTCAGGGACGGTCAGCGGCTGAGTGGCTGAGTAAGCGATTTCCCTAAACGGTCTATTCTGACGAACAGCAACAGTCAGCCGCTGTGCAAAATTCTCAGCGGTAAATATTTAGGCTGAGACAAGTCAGCCTCAATTAATGTAAAATAACTTTAATTTTCTCAGTTTATTGTTTACTTTTTATGGTTTGTTGAAGTTTATAGTTAATCGAATCCTTAAAAAATAGGAGATATTTGTTGTCAAAAAAGTTACAGAGTAGTAGGTTAATCTAAAACGTTCGAAAAAGACAATAATTGTAAATAGAGATCGAAGAAGTTAAAGACATAAAGAAAATTCAACTTGATTTCCATCTCAAGTCGAGTTTTCTAAATACAATGAAATTAAAAAAATACTACTCTGAAAAAATCTAAATTAGGATAAATAACTTTTGATTGTAATTATACCGTCTGATCGACAAAAAATTGTCCCCAATTGGCTTAGAAATGACGATCGATAATATTCCCTATATAAGTTTACTTATAAAATAACAGCAATCTTTACCTCCACATCACCCCTGACGTCGTTTTTTGTTATTGTAGGGTACTTACACCTTCAGTAATTTTATTTGTACCATACCTTCGAAAAAAAAAATGCGTAAAAGGTGCCAGTTCCTGTTATTTTAAGTTGTTTTGTTTAGGTGTATAGGTAAATTTATTTATAAACTGTTATTTTTTAGAAATTTAATGTGTAATACTGTATTGTCAAATAATATATTTTCATTTATTAAATGATCAGCCAGTAATATATTTTTTTCAAAATAATTTTTATTCGATCGATATAGACGGATTTGATGAAGACGGAATTTTAAAAATTTTAAAAACTATAATAATAGAATTATTAATTTTTTTTCCATAGCAACTGTTAAAATGGCCTTATATCTATCAAAAATAGTAGATAAAATAGTACTTTAACCCAAAGAATATACCTAGCTAGAAAAAGAATGGACTCCATACTGAAAAATGGTCCTACAGAAGTGGCTTTTTAATTGAAAGTGTTTATTGAATTTTACTCTAAAATATATAATTAAATTTGATTATTAAATCTAATTTTTTACACAAATTCAACAATACTAATAATAAGTATCGTTGTGATGTGTAAAAAAATAAGATTTAACAGTATAATTTATACAATAATTATTAAATAAAATTAAAGCCAAACATGTGTAAACATTATTTATTATTTAAAGTTTTTATTTATAAGTCAAATATTTAAACATCGTTTATTATAATAAAACAAGACCAACGTAATACGCCCAAAGTTTTGTAAATGGAGTAAATATAAATAGGTACTTAAATGATGGCAAAAATAAAAGACTTACATTATATTTTTAGGGCCACAAACAAAAGGAATTGTCTAATTAAACCACATATAACAAATTATAGTTTGAAAAACGTTTTGATAATCATTTGATAATTGACGCATTAAAATGATTGGCGCTATGACAACGACAAAATTTTTTGAGAATTTGACAATAGTATGACAATGGCCGTTGGAAACTATGGAAACTACAAAAAAATTTCCGATTTAACGCCATCTGGCAATAACTAGTAGCAACTTCTTAACCTAAAAATTAATTGCACTACCACCTAGCGCCTGACGCTGGAACTATTCTATTTGAAATTTCCGTGGAAACGGTGGAACCGCTTTTGCTATTTCACTTTCCCGCCCCTGCTTTAACCGCAAGGGTAGATTAATAAAATATAATAAAGCGGTTAGGTTAAAAACTTTATTTCTTCTCGCACGTTTTTTAATTGCTTCCATTTTTTGAAAATTTTTGTATTCCTTTCATAACTTATTCGGGATTTGAATGGAAGTGGTAGTTTGGATATGGCGTTTGTCGCCTCAGCCTGAATATCTGTTGGTAATTTACTTATTTCGTTTTGAGCCATTTCTGGCTCCAATTCAATCAGCAATCGACACGAAAGAGAATTAAAAAATATTGACTCAAAACTGACAACTAAAGAGACAGCTTTATTTATTTGTCAAATTACATAGAAACCAACGCAAACCCAGCACAATATTTTTTCTACTCGTGATAAATTCCTTGAAACATAATTTCTGAATATTTTTTAAAACGTAACTAGCTCGAAAAAAATATTGTTTTATACACGACGATAAAATTGCAATTATATCGTCTCCCGAAATTAATTCACTCGCGATTTCATCGCTCGATAAAATACCATTTTATCGTCTTGTATAAAAAATAACTATTTCATATTTATCTATATTATTTTATCACATCTTCATATCGGGTGTTTATCGCACAAGAACACTAAACATAACATTAAACATCAAACTCTTCTATTCCCAGCTGCAATTTTTGTTTCTGTTCGAATGGGGGGCCGTAAGCCTTGCTGCAGAGGCACGCGACTTACCGAGGCCGTGCCCCCGTACGGGATGGGGGGGTTGAAGCCCACGGGCAGTCCCCCCGCCACTGACTTGCTGTGCATCGCAGTCGCGGACACGATTTGAGCGCTCGACATGCTCGACATCGTCTGCAGCGCCTTCTCCTTGGCCACATGGTCCTAATGGCAAAACCAAACCCAACTTTTTATGTGTTTCCATACAAGAAAAATCAATTTCTAAACACTTAATTTGATTCTCCAAATTTGTGTCAAAAATATGTATTTTTAACATTAATTTATTTATTTTTTATTTTAAAGTTAGAATTAGTGATGAGCAAGATTGGTCTTTGCATACACACGTTTAGTTTCAATATCAAATTATTGCCTACCACATTACAAAACATATTAAAAAAAGTCATTATTATACAGGGTGAATTTTAAACAAATGCAAATATTTTTACGAGTAGTATATTTCGACCCCTGAAACACGTTTATGAGGTTTATTTCACGACGAAAAACATTCAAAATATTTTGAGAAAATGTTTGTATTTTTTTTTAATTTTTAGTTAATAAACATAACATCTGCATAATATGACAACATAGGCAATAGATTAAATTTACAAGAAAAAATCCAGTGGTTCTCAAAATTTAAGAGAAAAATATTTTTTTTTAATTTTTAATGTAAAATATCTCGATTATTTTGGACTTATCTGAAAAACGGTAAAAAGAAAATATTTTTCTTTTATCGAGATCTACTAGCCCTGAAAATATTTGCAATTGTATATTATGTCTCGATCTTTAAGTAATAAGTTTTTATCACACAGAAAATAATTTATTTATAAACAGCATTATTAATTCCATTACAAGAACCTTGCAGCAAGACCAAGACCAAGAGTGCAATACCAAGACCAAGGCAATTTTGGTCTTGTGTTTGCTCACCAGTGGTTCGAATATGTATTCAATAAGTAGCTTATTTACAATGAAATCCTTTTGATGTCTTTTCAACCAAACCAAGCCAACATTTATAATTTTCCTCAATTATGACATGTGTAAGAGACCTTTTTTACGTAGAAAATGATTAAAATGTATATTTTTTCACTCGGAAGTGTAATACAAGTACGTATGAAAAGTTATTACTCTTCAAAACAACTAAATAATATGTAGGTGGCGTCCCCTACAAATAGGAGTCATACAGACATCAAAATCGAATTTTTTATGTCAAAAAATACCCAGACACCAATTTTCATCCAAATATCGGCATTAGCTTAGAAATTAGTTGGAAAAATCGAAATAAAAATGAAACTTCTACACCCTGTATCTTCGAAATGAAGCATTTACGGACATATATTTATACGAATTTTTTATTTATTTTTATGTGCATAATATGCTGCCCAAGTTTCTGGAATACAATTCGGACCACCCTGTATACAGGGTGTTCCTTAATAACATGCTAATATTTAAGGTGGTTATTCTTGGACTAATTCTAAGAAAAAACCTTCATATATAAATGTATGTCCTGAACATCTTAACTTTTGAGATGCAGGGTGGTAAAATTTCCCAAAAAATAACTTTTTTTTCATAATAACTCTGATATTATTATCGTTATCGTGATGAAACTTGATACATGTTTTCTATGCATCAAGATGTCTTTTTTAATGTACAAAAATATTAATTTATTTCAACCAGTGCCGTCCATACCGGTTTTAGAATGAATATTTTTCGAGAAAAAATGGTACGCCACTGACTTGGTTTAAAATAAATATTATTTTCAAAATCTTCATTCTTTTCTAAACAAATTTTACCTTTTGATATTTTTTTAAAGCCATTTTCCTTCAGGATCAAATTAAGAGATACAACAAAACATTTTTTTGTATATCAAAAAATGCATTTTGATGCATAGAAGACCCGTATCAAATTTCATAAAAATACCTATAATGACAAAAGAGTTATATTATGAAAAAAGTTTATTTTAGAAAATTTTATCACCCTGTATCTCAAAAGTTAAGATATTTAGGGCATAAATTCATATGAAGTTTTTTTCTTAGAATAGGTTCAAGAGTCACCCGTTTAAATATTAGCATGATATTAATGAACACTCTGTATATCTATGGAGGCCTCAACAAATTAGGCAAAGAAAATAAAGTCCTCCTACTCTGGGTGCCTGCTCACCAAGGGATAGAAGGCAATGAAAAAGCAAATGATCTAGCTAGGAAAGGAGCGAACACTCCCCACTAACTGGACCACAACCGTTCTGTTTTTCAAGCGGGAACCAACTGAAAGCGGAACTGAAGAATCTGGAAGACTCCATCCGTAACTTGGAATGGGTGTCCTCAAACGGCCTCAGACACTCGAAAAAAATCCTCAGAACTTACGACCGAGAAAAATCAAAAGGTTTTCCTTGATTTAAGTAAAAACAATCTTCGGATTGTCACGGGGTTTCTAACAGGACACTGTCTCCTCAACGAACACCTCAGTAGGTTGAAGCTGAGAAACAACGGCGAATGCAGATTCTGTGGGAAAAATGGGGAAACACCAAATATATAATTCAAATTCACATTTATTCAGAATAATTTATTAACAAACACAATTAAGTATGTAATTAATCAGTATTTGGGCGGAAATAATAGTGGTATATTTAATTAATGGTATACCCTTTTATAAAGATTTAAATAGTTTTCTTCTTGCATACAAATGGGCTAATAATATTATCGTTTTGCTAAAAACGATAATATTACTAGCCTGTACATTTTGTACATTTGTTGCTTTAAAAACAAGCTAAAATGTCAATATTCCATGGGTATATTGATAAATGAGGTCTAAATTATAAGAAAATGCATTTTCTACGAAAACTTGAAGGGATAGGTAAAAAATGGTATAATACAATTTGATAGACAATTAAATTGTGCATCTGATTCTCCTAAAATACACAGGGCGTTCCCTTTAAATTAAACAAGTTATTGCCGTTTAAAGCTAGAAATTATTTAAAATAAATATTTAGACACTCGCTGTATGAGGTAGTATTATTTATATTATTGCAACGCAATAACTGATCAGTAACTAACAACTCAGTAAATATTTAGTATTAAAAACTTTGATACCCTTGGAGAAACGAAGCCTTAAAATTTTTGCTGCAATTTCACAAAATTGAAAATATTTCAAAAACGGTAAGGTTTAAGTGTAATAAACCTTAATCAAATTTACCTTTAATTTAGTAGTAGAAACTAAAAATGTAATAATATACAGGGTGTTCCATTTAAAAAAAATACAACTTTGATATTTATTATTTATTTGGGACCTCTCTATCTTGTAAAAATATTTTTAAATTGTAGCTCTAATAGTCCTTCAACGAACCCAAAACTTACAATTTGTAAAAATCTAATCGTTTAGCAACAATACTCCGAGTCGTATGTGGTGAACAACCCTGTAGATCTGTAAGGTTGCGGTGATTAACTCCCCTCCTAAACATTCTACATTCTATCTATGGAAACTCGTATTAATGGTTGAAAACACCTGCCAACCTAAACACAAACACGTCTACTTTTTTAATCTTCTTTACAAAATAAACACACTGAAAGTCGTAGAATTTATTCTTCGCAGTTTACTACCTGCTATAATAAATAATATAAGTACCTATACGATTAAAGACGACCACTATTACAGCACTATTCAATTTAATCTCTGAATTCAATGTGAAATTATTACACGCTCTAGTTCCTTTATACTTCTAGTCGTTGTTCGCTGCGATAACGTGTGCTTTTTGGTAAAAATCGAAGCAATCTATATTTGTACGCTAGTTCTAGAGATATAATAGACAAACTGCGAACATTAATAGCGAGAGAGACTATATAATTATCGGTTAATTTAGTTATTATTTATCAGTCCGTGGGTTTCTGGTTCTTGAAAATAATTAATACTTTCACTTTGTTTGATTTTTTACGTTTAATTGGGCCCATTGATTTTTTCTCTAGATTCAAGTTCTTTTCATCTTTGGTGAAAATCTAAGAAATAATCTATAATTTAATCTGCTCAAAACTGAAAATTTTCATACAAATTAGAATAATATAAAACGAATTTAAAAGTGTCCATTGGTGTGCTTGCAGTACGATCAATGGGGCATTCCATTTTATATTTATAACCAAATATATGTTTTGACAAGACTTTGACAGTTAAAACAACAAATTACAACAGATTATATATTGATTATTATATGACTTGAAACACCACGGCACTGGAATTAAGTTTTATGTGACCTTGAACAGGTTCACATAGCGACCGATGAATCACTCCCAAACATTCGTGGCGTTTACTTTACCACACACTTGGTATTTCGAGTCAAATTTTCGTTACGAACCGCAAGTTATATTTTCAAATAAACCATATGCGAAACTGTCAAAAGTTGACATATGATATGTTATTCTATTCAGAGTGTCATCTTCTATCGAATAAAGTAAAAAAAATACCGAGGGTGTCATTTAAAAATCAAAAGTTGTAGTCATTTACGGTGAAACAGGAAGTGACCAAAAACAATTGAATACGTCAATCAATCCTTTTGAATAAGAAGACTAAGGAAGGAGCATATCAAAAATCTTAGGTACACCGCGATGGGCCTCAAATATGGCCGACTTAAATTCCGGTTTATCAGTGTCGTTCTAATTTTATTTAAAAAATGTAAAACTATGATGTAGGGTAGACGTGGGGTAGACTCAATAATTTGTTGTTTTATTTTACGTTGTGAATAAATGTTGGTAGTTATTAAAATTGTTATAAAAATATATAATTCTAATAAAAATAGATAAGTTATAATAAGTATTTATTAACACAAACATCCGATACGCTACTGAAGCAGGTAAGTCAAATTAACATATCTAAATTCTTTGACATCTAATCTTTGACAAGTAATAAATAAAAGCTAAAATGCAAGAAAAATATATAATTTAGTTAATTTAAGTAAATTTCATAAATGATCGGTTTACTACACGTATGTATATTATATAGTCACTTATTAGCGAAAAGTTGTTCCATTATTTCACTCAATTTTTGCCGAGATCTACCGCACGCTACACAACCAACTATTTTAGAGTCGTTTTCGATAAATCGCCATAGTATCACTGTTAATTTAAGTTCTGCCACAATTTCCATCTAGATTTACTACCTTTATACAACTATCAGTAGTAGAATAAATAATAAATAACATAAAATAAGCTCAGTAAAGATTGACAAATCCACAAAATTTCAAATCAAATCCAAATTTGTCAAATGAATCGTCAAACAGAACTGTCAAGGATCCCCACCCTAGAAAGCTTTTTCCGCCCACCATGCATGAATACATGGATAGCATTATGCTCCTTCCTTAGTCATCGTATTCAAAGATCAATCCTAATTTATGCCATAGGGTAATAGCATTTCGATTTAATTTTTTGATTGATGGTTATTATTCATTTTGATTAACTTCATATTTTTGTTGTTGTTAAAGTATTTTTTTCGATATCTATTATCACCTTCCGTAGCATTGACTAAATAAATTTTGTTCTTCTTTAACATTTTAAAACAGCAAAAATTATGACATTTCTGTTTTCCTGTCTGACAATTCTGTCAATAACAATCTGTCAAAGAATGAGAACGAAATATATGACCATAGAAACGCGTTTTGATTTTTAGGATTTCAAAAATTCAACTATATTTTCATGTTTTTTTTTAACTTTCTCTAAAACAGTATGTAAAGTTAGAAAAGTATAAACGGTATTTACCATTTTTGAACAAGCAAAAAAAACAGAAAAATACATTTTTCTCAAAATGTTGGGGTCAATAAAAAGTTTTTCCTCTTATACTGTATAAGTATATATTAATTATTATTGCTGCAAAAAATTGCAGCAAAATCTGACTACGCCATTGCCAGAGCCCCATTGCATTGAAATAAAAATATACAAAAATACATTATACGAATAAAACTAGCTTTTAGAGTTTTTATTTACAATACATTAATAATTACAATAATTGTTACGTTATTAATGAACCTCTGAATGCTGCAGAATAGTTTTTGCACTTTAATAGCATGCGTTCAACTATAACTTATATCCCTAAGTGCCAATTTGCAAGAGAGACAGAACAGCCGCAATTATGTACCGCTACACTTGTGAATTAATCGACATCTATTTGTTTCTCAACGTGACTTTCGCTTTATGAAATCTCATATAATGTTATTGTTTTGTAACGTTTTGCATACACAGGTGTGTATGGTTTAGAATTATTGTTTGTATATAAGTTTATCCTCAACCATACAATAATGGGTTTTATTCAACCCTATAAAGAGTTTAAAGAGAGTTAGTCCTAATTGCCAATAATTCTGAAGAATTACAAGCACAAATTAATAAACTATCTCAAAATGAATTTAGCAAAAATTAAAGTAACGTACAACGAATTAGAGGAAAGAAAATACATTCTAATAAAACATTGAAAATAGTACAAGAATATAATATTACTAGCGTGTACCAGCGACTTCGTTCGCGTCGAATTAACCTTTTGTAATGGTGATGATAAAGCAAAGCAAGAATTTCCATTAACATACAAACTGGATAAATTTTTCTCACATTTATGTCAGCATGAGAAAAAACAATATGGCGGTAATTTGACTTTCGAAAAATCGGTTTGCCAAAAATAAGTTTTTTACGTCAAGCAGTTTAAGCAGAATCGTGGTTAAGAAATTACCCAACTTTTTGAAACAGCCTGTATGATCTTTTTACAAAATATTAAAAAAAACAAATAAATTATGCTTGTCCAAGCGTTTTCCCGAAAGACTAACCGTTTTTTAAATAACAAATATTGTAATATTTGAGGGGCGTTTTCACCCTCTTGGAATTTGAGATTCGAGAAACCCCTCCTTATCGAACCCCTACACCCCACAGTCAATCCATTTGCCAAAAATCAGCTTTAAACGTCAAGCAGTTTAAGCAGAATCGTGATTACTCAATGGTCATATTTTATAAAACACCCTGTATAAATTTATAAAAAATCTTAAAATATGTAAAACAACAAAATAAGTTTGTATTAATAGTTTGTTTTCAGTATTTTTTTACTAAAAGAAACGCGTCAACGTGTCAAAAGCGGATCTAAAAGATTTTAGTAAAACAATGTTAGTTAGGGTACTTACCACTTTCAATTTAGCCTGTATTTCTCTTAATTTTCGTCTGGCTAGGACTTGGATGTGCGAACTCACTTGCTTTCTCGTTCTCGTTTTTCCAGTCCTTATTTTTATGTACCTTGCTATCAGTTCGTTGCGTCCTATAACAAAAAAAGTATAGTTAGTATTGTCAAAAGAGTACACACATACTCTAGATAGTAAATATAGTAATATAATAATAAACGTTTTGACATGTTTTTTTACTCAACCGTATTCCAGGCAGAAATTTCGCCATTCTAAGGCAACGAAAAAGCCGATGAGCTAGCTAGGCAAGGATCATCGGCATCCTATCTTGGTCCAGAGCCAGTACTGGGAATACCCAAATGTAGGTACCCCCGTAGTGCACTAAAACTTTGGATCAGAGAAAATCAGAATGTCCTCTGGAGGAACACACATGGGCACAGGCACAGCAAGGCTTTTATCCAAGGACATGGCTCTAACACCGCAAAAGAACTGCTAATGTTTAGCAGGAATAAAGTGCGGATTACAACAGGCCTCGTGACAGGACACACGGCTGTCAAGTGTCACCTGAACCAGCTCAACCTGTATCAAGGAAGTCTTTGCTGCAGACTCTGCGAAAAAAATCTTGAAACAGCGGAGCACATAATACGTCATTGCGAGGTTCTGGATCGCAGGCGATACTTTTATTTGGGAAAGCTAGGCTAGAACCGGAGGAACTATGCTCCCATCCTATCAAGGACCTGCATAAGTTAGTGCAGGGCACAGGATAGGAGAATGGGTGCTTGTATAGAAAGGGGACAAACATAATATGCCTAACAGGTCGCAGTGTTTCCGGCAGAGAATGGCCTCTTGTTATGGAAAAAAAATAGTTATAGAGTATTGTCAAAAGAGTACACACATACTCCAGATATTAAATATGTAATATAAAAATAAAATTAAAAAGAAATAAGTTCAGCATTCTGTTTTGGTCATGTCAATCCACGTTTTGACCTCTTTGTCCTTTTCGTAGTAGAGCTGGTCAACTGTTCGTGTTTGAAAATGTTTGTTCATACGAGTTCAAAATAGTAAGATTCCGGGTATTTAACCGAACTTGTTTGTACAATATTTCTGCATTATGATTTATTTTACTCCAAAACACTAACCTCTGCCAAGAAAATACTCTTTCAAAAGCAAAGCGATTTAAATATAGAATTTAGTTTATTTTTCTTCTTGCTCATTGATATGGTTTGCAAAAATATGTTCATTAAGCACTAGCGTAGGTAGTACGTTAATAGACAAACTGTAAGTCTCATATAAATAGTACACATCAAAGAAGCGCGAGTAACTGACTTCCTTCAAAATAGGACTGATTGATATTGACTTATAAAATATATATTTAAATAAAGTGACGTTTACTTTAGTCATTGTCTATCTTTTTTCTTGGACTAGAAACGATTTTGAATAAATAAAAAAGTAATTTCTAATATCACATCATCATCATCATCATTCTCAGCTTATTCAACCATTTCCAATTATGGTGTAGCCTCCCTCACATTTAGATACTCTCTTTGTAGTTGGGCCCATTGTTGTCTATGCGGGCCCAATGAGTTATCCCTGCTAATTTCCTACTATCATGGTCCCGTCTCAGGTTGAGTCTTCCTTTAGGTCTCTTAATTCCTCGTGGGTACCATGCTATAATGTTTGTGGTCCATCTGTTGTCTGCCCTTCTTGCCTGCCCATTGCCTGCCCATTGCCCTGCCTGCCCATTGTCCTGCCCATTGCCACTTGAGGGATTTTATTCTGTGGATGGGGGCCACCTATTACATGGGTCTTTTGTCGTATCCACTCTATTCTTTTACGGTCTTTCTTGGTTATTCCCAGTATATTTCGTTCCATTGAGCGTTTTGCGACCTGCAGTTTCTAAAATCACATAAACGTAAGAAAATGCAAGACCGCAAGAGTCTAGCATGCTTGGACTTGCTCTTGTGGAAGTCTTGTACTGGCTTGTCTTGGTTTTGATCGTGGATAGACCCAAAAAAGGCCCCCACACGTATAATATTGCTGAAAGATAAATGTACACTAAAAATATTTATCAAAACAGAATTTTTAAAGTAATATCAACTAGAAAAAAAGATAGGACACTCAAACACTCATTTTATATACTTTTTCATACATTATTTTAATGTTCTCCATAATAACAAAGCAAAAGCAAATCTATGTCTATTCGGCTTTTCCTGGATATACACGTATAACCCCAGTTTTAACGCTGGCAAAGCAATTTAAGTTATTGTCGCACATAACCTGGGTTGGTCCAGAAGATCCGCCGAATACGTTTGTTCTCTCGAGCAAACTAACTGTAATTAATGTCGGATTCGCCATCTGACCTTGCTTCTCTATATCTTGTTCTATTTCGACTAGAGACCCTAGAACTTCTATAGTGGCCAAAATGGCCAGTTTTAGTCAGTTTGGTTCTATTAAATTTGATATTTAGAGGGTTATGTTCAGTTTCTAAAGATTTATTTTATGTGTGGAAGCAGGGCAGAGAATATATTTGTATATGGTTACTTTTTTTTACAATAAGTAGTTAGCTGAATTTCTACGCATTTACTAGAATTTGTTCAATTAACGCAAGATTGTGTCGAAAGGTAAAAAAAATTATAATCTAGCGAGCTTTCACTTTGATACTTAAAAATTATAATGTCATTTGTTTGTTTGTATCATTAACGAACAATTTTTTTATCCATATCTATACCTATAGATAAAGAAACATGTTTAAATTGGAATGCTCGGCTTGCCGTCAAAACTTATGATTGTTTTAACAGAAACCTTTGTCAAAGCCAGAATCTTCAAAAATTATAAAATCTTTCAAAATATAAACTACCTTCAATGAAAAAATTCCGAAAAGTGTTTAAAGCGTCCATTTTCAAAGTAATTATTATCATCTTGTGAGTTTAATTTAAATTTTATTTACTCAAACCCGTGATATTGTGAAAAAGTGGCATTAAAAAGTTAAAACCCTGTGTAAACTGTGAACTGAAAAAACCACCGTGGATCATGGCACAACGTCGCACAGTGGTTTCGACAATGGAAACCCCTCCCAAAAAGGGGGTGTTAAATCGGGTTTAAATTATCCTATCTTACATCGAGTTAGTTCAAAGACAATATAATAATATTACTTTTTTAATTTAATTACTAGTTTTGAATTTACAACACCACCTTTTTGACAATTTTCTTAAAGACGAAACGCGCAAAAATAAAGCGAAAACAAGTAATATTTTACAGCCCTTCTTTTAATTCCTAAAAATCGGTATTACCCAAGAACTGTTTCGTTTATCCATGGACATTAAAAGTAAAAATCATTTTGCCAAAATATACCGTGCCTTTGATGCAGTTTAGTTTGAATCTATTTCTATTTCTAATAAAATTACTTTACTTCTTACTTTAATCAGACTAGAACAAAAAACCTTTACCGAGCTTTGGTCTCGGATTAATTTGACTAAAAAAAGCAACTGTTAAAGTAGTGATTCTATAAATTTTATCGCCACATTCGGCCACGTTAATCACATTAAAATCTAACAATTTTTTAACAAACGTTTTTTTGGGTCTATCCACGATCAAAACCAAGACAAGCCAGTACAAGACTTCCACAAGAGCAAGTCCAAGCATGCTAGACTCTTGCGGTCTTGCATTTTCTTACGTTTATGTGATTTTAGAAACTGCAGGTCGCAAAACGCTCAATGGAACGAAATATACTGGGAATAACCAAGAAAGACCGTAAAAGAATAGAGTGGATACGACAAAAGACCCATGTAATAGGTGGCCCCCATCCACAGAATAAAATCCCTCAAGTGGCAATGGGCAGGACAATGGGCAGGCAATGGGCAGGCAAGAAGGGCAGACAACAGATGGACCACAAACATTACAGCATGGTACCCACGAGGAATTAAGAGACCTAAAGGAAGACTCAACCTGAGACGGGACCATGATAGTAGGAAATTAGCAGGGACAACTCATTGGGCCCGCATAGACAACAATGGGCCCAACTACAAAGAGAGTATCTAAATGTGAGGGAGGCTACACCATAATTGGAAATGGTTGAATAAGCTGAAAATGATGATGATGATGATTTGATATTAGAAATTACTTTTTTATTTATTCAAAATCGTTTCTAGTCCAAGAAAAAAGATAGACAATGACTAAAGTAAACGTCACTTTAATTAAATATATATTTTATAAGTCAATATCAATCAGTCCTATTCTGAAGGAAGTCAGTTACTCGCGCTTCTTTGATGTGTACTATTTGTATGAGACTTACAGTTTGTCTATTAACGTACTACCTACGCTAGTGCTTAATGAACATATTTTTGCAAACCATATCAATGAGCAAGAAGAAAAATAAACTAAATTCTATATTTAAATCGCTTTGCTTTTGAAAGAGTATTTTCTTGGCAGAGGTTAGTGTTTTGGAGTAAAATAAATCATAATGCAGAATTATTGTACAAACAAGTTCGGTTAAATACCCGGAATCTTACTATTTTGGACTCGTATGAACAAACATTTTCAAACGAACAGTTGACCAGCTCTACTACGAAAAGGACAAATCTGTATCCGAATAGACCGATACCTGAAAAATCTACAATCGCAAGGAATATCCAGAGATTTGAGACCAAAGGTACCCTAATAAATAACTGCAGATGTGAAGCAAGGCAGGAACAAAGAGAAGATGCAAGAAATGATACCGACTTGGAAGTTTTATTGTGCGTTGAAGAGAATGATGGAAAGATCAGCACAAAGAAACTTGAGGATGAAATAGGAATAGATCACACTACAGCGTTTCGAATTTTGAAACGACATAAATACTATTCCTTCAAATATGAAAAGCACCAAGAGCTACGAGATGGGGACGAAATACGGCGGCAGGCGTTTTGTTTTGATATGATGGAAAGAGCAAACACGGATAGGAAATTTTTAAAACACATATGTTTCACTGACGAATGCACGTTTACCTTAAATAATGAACCCAATGTTCAAAATTATCGATACTGGAACAAAGAAAACCAACACAGGTTTGTCGAAACAAGGACGCAATATCCACAGAAAGTAAATGTTTGGGCAGGGATATTCAGACACAATATTATCGGGCCATTATTTCTTACGCGAA